CCGAGTGACCGCCCGGGGCCGTGACCCTCGGCCGCCAGCAGCACGGGGGCCAGGACCCTGGCCTTCGTCCTAGCGGGACCCGCCGTGGCAACGATGAGAGACGGGGCCAGGTAAACGCAGAACGCTTTGCGGAAATCAAAACGGTGTGATAAGTGCAGCGCGCTGTCACGGAAAGACATCTGCGCCACGTTACCGAGGGAACAAATTGGTTACAAATTGCAGAGTGATCGGTAGGATCTATATGCTTGAAGGAAGATTAAATTCGGGGAGTCGAATTGAGGGTGTTAGGGTGTTTTCCTCTACGAACTTGCCAATGTCCGTGGTGATTTCCCCACAATGTAGGCGGTAGAAATAGCTTTGCATTCATACCATCTAGAGGATGATAGAAAAAAAAAATTTTTAATCGAAAAGAATTTTTTTTTTTTTTTCAGTTGAGTCACTGGCTTTAGAACTCCTAAGTAGATTTGGTGAAGTCGACAGCAAGGACGATCATTTCGGAAGTCATGGCTTTTGATCATAGGAATTCAGCCTTTGACAAAGGGATTTTTATTTGGTGTGGTAGGCGGGATATGGGCCGCTACGGAAAGGTCCGAGGCCCGTACCGGGAATCTCTGGGCAGGTATGTCGTATTAGGACATGACGGGGAAGTTAAGGCTGCAGACGGAACAGACCTTGCTAATCAGCAGACGTTAAGATCAAGGGATCGTCCCAGATTATCCAGGTGGGCGCCAGGAAATCACAGGGGAGGCGGAAGAGGGGGTCCGAGCCCACGAAGTTGCATCCCCAGCTGTGATGACAGAGGAAGGGGCCACGAGCCACGGACACAGGTGGCCTCCAGAAGCTGGAGAAGGAAGGCGATGGGGCCTCCCCTCCCGTCTCCAGATGGAAACGCAGCCCCGCCCGCACTTTGGCCTCAGCTCCGGTGAGACGCTTTTGCATGCCTGACCCCAAGGACAAGATCATCACGCTTCTGTGCTGTTGTAAGCCACTGTCTCTGTGGTGATTTCTTACAGCAGCAACAGGAGACCAACACGTTTGAGTTTGTTCTTATTTTGTGTGTTTCCTCGAGGCCAAAAGCTTGCTTTCGACCACTGGCAGCAAAGCCCAACATTTATCAAAGCACAACATTTATCCCGTCAACTCACAGGTCCAGGAAGAGCGTGTGATGAAAAAAGAACGGTTGTCGTCCTATCCGAAGGGAGATAGGGGGATCTCCCTATGCCCAAGTGGGGGGAAGTCTGGGGCTCGAGGGCCGTGTGTTGGGGGCCTGGCAAGGAGCCCCCATTCTGTTCCTTGCTGGCTGACAGGAAGACGCCAGGGCAGGACGCACAGGGGACAATAGAGGACACACATCCTGCCTGAGATGCATGCCCAGTGGACATGTCCTCCCATGGAGGGAGTGTGGCTGCAAGTTCCTGGTGCTTGACAAGGTACCCAGGGTGGCCTGAGCGTGCCAGCTCAGCTGGGGAGCTCCAGACAGGTGGATGCGGAGGGAAGAGAGTGAGCTGTGTGGCCTTGAGAAGCACATACCCGGTGCCCCGCACAAGGAGAGGCTGGCAGGCTCCATCCGCGGAGAGGCGCGCCCCCCCCCCCACCTCATGTCACTCAGCAACCCCGTGGGGGACATCGGAAGTCACGGAGTAGGTCCCAGAGGGGACTGAGTGGCATCAGGGGTGAATCAGGAATGACTAAACTCACTTTGCATTGGCGAAGTCAATATTCCATCACCTGCAGAAGTGAGGGGTTACGAGTAAATTCAGTTACAGAGAAACAGGAAAAGGCTGGATGTTTATACGTCACTTTTTTTTTTTCTGTAAATAGCCTATCAGCTACATGTCAAGATGTGAACAGAAGTTATCTCTGGCCAGCGGGATTAGGAGCACTTTTTATTTCTTTCAGTCTGTATTTCCTAGTTTGCTTTTTCCCCCCCTAAAAAGAACAAGTTTATTTCTTAGCAAAACCAGGGGGCGATATCCTTACAGGAAGCCCTATTTGTTGAGTGACTTCCTCAGCCAGTCCTCATGGCTCTAAGATGACCTTGGGGTCAGCTTTCTGCCCCGATGACCAGTTTTCATCTTATTCTGTGTCCCTGGGGGCTCCGTGGAAAGCTCGAGAGGCTGCATAGGGAGCAGCCGGGGGCCGTGGCCTCTGAGGTTAACATTTCCAAAGTGTGCGGCAGGGGAGAAGCTAAGACCCCCACAGGGGGGCCCTGACCCTGGTCCCTGGGGGCGGGGGGGTCCGTCCACCACCAGCCCCACCGGGAAGCCCCCAAGCCTCCAGACTTCCTCACACGGCAACGTGTGCTCAGAAGGTGCCCGAGCCACGAGAACGAGGGGGGCTACACGGCACAGTTTCAGTTAGAACCACAGATGGTGAGAGAGGAGAGGGGATGTCGGGGGTGGAGGGGGGGTGTCTCACATCTGGGGCGGGGCCTTCTCTGTGTCCTCGGTTCTTTCCATATAGTCACCTCCCGTGAACAAAGTCACCTCCTTGGCCCTGCTCCCCGCTATGGGGGGACTGAGGGAGTCTCTGTTTGTCACACGACGTCTGGTCTACGGCCGTACCACCCTCAATGCACCTGACAAGGTCTGCAACAAAGAACGGGGGTCCCGTCTCTCACTTGTCAAACCACCCGGGGGGAGAGGTGACCTCAACCGCCTGCGTTCCGACCCTCTGTCCTCTCTCAGCCTCTGCCTCTGCTCTGGCCAGCAGAGCTGGGGTCGTAGGAGGGGGAAATGTGTGACACTCCCACCTCTGCAGGCCCTCTGGGGTGTGCCCGCTTCAGAGGATTGGATCCCCTTCCTTGGCTGGTCCTGTGACCCCAGCCCCTCAGAGGTGTAGACACAGACTATAAAGGGGGCCCTACCCGGTCCTGAGCCAATCCTGCCCAGACGGCCAAGCGAGAGTGGCTGGTGAGCCCCCCGGTGACGCTCACTGTGGTGGGCGTACTCAGGGCCTGCCCTGCCCCCTGGGAGCCCTGGGCCTCCTGCCCGCGGGTGTCAGTCCGGTCCGGAAAGCCTGCCTCCTGCTTCCACAGACTGGCCTGTCCCCTCCCTGTGGGACCTGCCCTGAACACTCCCTCGGGTTCTCGCCCACCGGGCCATGCGGCCTGCCCCGCTCCTCTCTTCCAACCCACATGCCACCCGCTTCCTGCACGGGCACCTTCCGGGGCCACGGCCCCATCACAACCAGCTCCTCAGCTCCCCGCGACACTATCCACTCCCACTGCTCCCTGGAGCCGGGTCCCCAGCAAACTGGGACCACTTCTTCCCACTTCCCTCTTCCCTCCAAGTCCCCCACTGACTGTGTCACATCCCGGGGGGCTCAGTCAGTCGAGCGTCCGACTTCATTCAGGTCATGATCTCGAGGTTTGTGGGTTCGAGCCCCGCGTCGGGCTCTGTGCTGGGAGCCTGGAGCCTGCTTCAGATTCTGTGTGTCTCTCTCTCTGCCCCTCCCCTGCTCATGATCTCTCTCTGTGTCTCTCTCTCTCTCTCAAAAATAAATAAACATGAAAACAAAATTAAAAACAAATAAGGCACCGAGCCTTGCCTACCAGCCTCACCCCGACACCACAGACCTCCCGGGCTCTGCTTCTTGGCCCTCCAGCAGTGCCCCCAGGAGCACGTGGCCTGCTGTGTCCCCCCAGGAGCTCGGCATTCCCTCCCCCACGTCCTCACAGACGGTGCGGCCACACTGTGTAGAGGGACATGGGACCGCCTGCACGACAGTGACCCCAAGGGCGCCTGGACTGGCTCGGTGAAAGCCAGCAAACTCTTTTTTCAGTCTAATGTGTAATTATTCACCCGAACGCCTTCATCCCCGGGGACGGTAACTGTGCCCAAGGATGAAACGTCTCTGTCAAGCATCCCGTTCATTTCGAAATGTTCACTGGCTTTGAAATTTACTTTTGTACTCAGAAAATTCTAGAGACAGGCTAATATACCACTTTAGGGCATTTATAGTTTTTGGACATCTATTTTAGGGACAAAATGAGCCTCCTGTACCGTTCAGAGAAGGACAAAAGACCCGCTGATTCTTCAGCCTGGAGCTTTGGGGCTCCCAAATACCAAGAGCAAGTCCCGAAGTCCTGTCAGGTCATCTGCCGCAGCTCCGGAAACCACACAGCCCGCTTCACTGTTAACCACAGGACGTGATGGCCGACTCCCCATTCTACAGGTGTGGAAATGAAGGCCTCAGAGAGGCGGGCGGGGGGCCTGCTGGGGTCCCAGAGGTAGGACACGTTGGGGGCAACACACCCATCATTCTTCGGTAAAGACCAAAAAAGTGCCTGTCCGGTTCTCAATCACGAACGAATGGGCAGAGGACTTGCTCCTGGGCCCCCAGACGGGAACCCACTCTAAGCCCGAGAGAACACGCCGGAGGGACGAGGGACGAGCTAAGCTGTGTGGCTTGCTAACTTCTAGGAGGACCAGATCCCCGTTTCTCAGACATCTACATGGAACGTTAGCAGATAAAACGACGACGGTGGACGGGAAGTTGGTCTGGCTGAGGACCAGACGGCTAGGCTGCATCTCTGGCCCCAGCCCCGCCCCTTACCACTCCTCAGCAGCCCCCCACCCCGAGGTCAGCTGAGCACGTCTGCAAACCTCTGTCCTAAAGCGCCCATCTCATCCACGCGTGGGACTCCGAGGCGGGAGGGAAAATGACGCGTCCAAAGACGAACGATCACGGCGACGGCCAGGGTTGTAAAGACCACCCATCCCGACCAGTCCTCTGTCCCCAAGACCCCTTTCTACCACCCTTGGTGACCACTCTGCCGCGCGCTAACATCAGAGAGGGAAGCCCAACGATGCCCCGGCCGGTCTGCTTTGTTCACGGTCTCCCCACGCAGGGACACATCCCGGGACGTCGCGGAGACGGGCAGGACCCTGCTTCGTCAAGCCTTCACACGCTCTGTGCTTTTGAAAGCACATCCCGAAGTATCTCCCCATCTCTTACATTTTTAATTTATCCTGAAATATTTTCTGCAGGCCCAGAGGTATACAAGCTTCCCTTTATTCTGGAAGACATCTATTGTTTTAATGTAAAAGCTTTGCCGTGTGTGTGTGTGTGTGTGTGTGTGTGCACGCACATGATACACATTATAATCATTTTATCATTATCTGTCTGTGGCCATCACTAAGTTGGCCATGTGTGAGCCCCCAGGAGCAACCCAGAAGCAAGTGTAGGTCACAGGGAAGAAAGTCACAATACTGTCTGGCACCAGGACGTCCGTGGAAGGTGACAGGGTCTTCCCCACCAGACCCCTGCACCAAGCCGGGCACAGCACGTACCAGCAGCCGTCTCTCCCCTTCTCCCGGGTCTGACCCGAGTCGTCTCCTGCAGGACAGGAACTGCACTCGTGAGGCCATTCTCAGGACCCGAGCTCTGCCCCTGCGGTCCCACGTCACTCTTTTCCCCAACCTCTTCCCGGCTCCAGACTGACCACTGATGGCCCGAACTCAGCGACCCTCGGAAATCAGGGCTTCCCCCAACGGACGACACAGCTGGTCTTCTCTCTTTCCAGGTAGGAAGCATTCTTCCTCCGCTCTGGAGGGGGAGGCCTTGGATTCTAGACACACTTGTCGGCCACAGTGATTGAGTCCATATGATGGCGGGATCGTCTACACCGGGCCCGGACCGCGCGAGATGGAGGGGTGATAGACAAGTAGTTGTAATGAACGATGGTGGTGGTGGTGACGGCAGTGACAGTTACTTAGTGCCGAGTATCCGCTCTGTGCCAATCACTCCTGACCCTCACCTGTCTTCATTAAGCCCACGTGGTCAGCACCACGCGGCAGAATGCGTCCCTCGAGGCTCGGCTATGTCCTCCAACTTGGACCGGAAGGCAGGGAAGGAACAGACAAGTTATCAGCAGGTACCGGTGGCCGCTCTCTGGCTGGCTGACCGACCGTGGAGGGGCGCCCAGGCCATCTGTTGTAGCACAGGGAGCCAGAAGGACAGTGACTCCAGTCCCAGCCCGTGCAGGGGCACGGGAAGCATAGGGGACCGCAGAGAGGGGACGGGCACAGGAATGACCCGGGAGCCTGAACCGGCACCAAAGCGGCACGGTAAGCCCTGGGCTCTCACGTCCTCACGCTCCCTTGCTAGGATGCGCAGGGAAGGAACCGCCACCCAGAGGATCCGGTCGGTTCAGCGCCTCAAGTCAGTTTAGTCCTAAAGGGAGAGAATCCTCCGTGGGCCCAGCCAGGGTCGCCCGGGGGAGGCAGAGGCTCGGGGGGAGCGCTGAGATGGAGTTTGGACAGAGAATGTCAAGCCGGGGACACAGGACGATGTGTGAGGCCCCCCCTCTCCAAGGGCAACTTCTCGTACTTGCATGGATGCCAACCCGAAAGAGGCCACCGGTGCCCCCGGGCCAGGTCTCCTCTCCAAGGTGATTGGAGCCAAAGGCCAGAGCTCAGTTCTCAAGGAAGGCCCAAGAGTCGAGTCGTAAAGCCCAGGGCCGGCGTCCCCGACACCTGTGTCTCCTCCTTCTGTCCTTGGCCTCCGCGAGGACCCCACCTGCAGCTGACATTCATTCTGCCCTGCTGACGAACAGAGGACGGCCTCACATCTGGGCTCCTTGCCACGGCCCCCCATTGCCATTCCCACCGCTGCCCACGCTTTCACGGCCCTTCCCCCGCACTCGCTTCCGGAAGGCCTGAGCCTCCACCTTGGGTCACTGGCCCCTGCTCCAGGCTGCTGCACCACAGGCAGAACTCCCCGCTCACCTAATAGGCAGATAGGGCCCAGAGAGGTCGCTACAGCCCTACATCATACCAGCAGAAGGCCTGAGACCACGCTGGTAACAGATGTCACAGAGTCAAGGCTCAGATGCTCTCCAGGGTGTCCTCGTTTCTTGAACACATCGAATCTCCATTCTATAATCAGAAAGGACAATTTTCACCTCTTCCCAAGATGCATTCAGCAGACAGCCACTGAACAGCAGCCGGGCTGCGTCCTCAGGAGTTTTTGAAGGGAGAATGATGGGGCAGGGAGGGGTCAGAGGCGGCCACGTTGTCGTGGAGTGGGGTTTAGGATACGTCTTTCCCTGGGAGATTTGGGAGCACAGAAGCAGGCACAGACCCCACACCGTCAGGTCAGAGGAGCCCTGGGCTCGTGGGTTGATTCTGAAGGTCAGAAGAGCTGGAAGGCGGGCCTGTCTGAACCAAGGGACTGAGTGCACCGCGGAACGGGGCTGGAAACAGGATGCCTTCAGGAGGCACCAGTCGATACGTGGAGATCGTATCTGAGACCCCCGGTGCTTTCCCTCCCGACACCATCACTGTGCTCCCGATCACCCAGCTGAGCACCCGCAACTAACCCCGACTCTTGCTTTTCCTTATTTCTACTTTTTTTTATTTCTAATTTTTTTAACGTGTATTCATTTTCGAGAGACAGAGAAACAGAGCATGAGCGGGGGAGGAACAGAGAGAGAGAGAGAGAGAGACACGGAATCCAAAGCAGGCTCCGGGCTCCAAGCTGTCAGCACAGAGCCCGACGCGGGGCTCGAACCCACGAACCGCGAGATGGTGACCTGAGCCGAAGTCGGACGCTTCACCGATGGAGCCCCCCGGGGTGCCCCACCTTAATTCTACTTTTAAGTCAAGTCTCGCCAGTGTGTGTTCTGAACAGCTCTCAGGCACAGTGACTTCTCTCGGTTCCCTTTGCCGCTTCCTGGTTGAGGCTCCCCTACCATGGGGCCAGGGTACCCCCAGAGTCTCCTGGCTTCCCTACCTCCCTCTGCCCCAAGTATATCCTCCCCCACAGACACAGAAACTCAACCTTTACACCGTGTACGTAACACTCCTCCGAGAGTCCACATAAGCTACCCGATAAAACCCAAACCTATGAACCGGGGACGTAAGACCTCCGTTCTCGGGCCCCTGTGCCCCCTGCAGCCCCACTAGATACCCCTGCCCAGGCCCGCTCCCCCGAGCATACTACTCCTCACCTCCAGGATGTTGCACGGCTCCCTCCCCTCCACCCCACCCAGTTTCTTTACCTCATCCTTTCACCCACCACCTGGGCATCACCTTTCTAAATCCCCCCTTGGAACCCCTGGTCCCCCCCCCCCACACCCCGCCGCCCCACCAGTGTGATCTGGGCCGCGTGAGACCCGCTGTGCACTCCCAATGCCGTGCTCCCCGTGTCCTGTAATCATTGGCCTCCATATCCACCCACCCCACCGGGTTGTCAGTATGTTGAGGGCAAGAACTAGGTGTTCTTCCCCTCTGTGTCCCCGTACCTAACTCAGTGGCTGGCACACAGTGAGAACTCAGACTTCTCTGAACGAATTAAATAGTGGGGCCGGTGGCTGAACGATCGGTGCTTCCAGTTGCGAAAATAGCGAGCGCAGGGGAGCAGCTGGAATGAGGTCAGTTTGCATGAGGGGGTTTGGAGCTTCCGGGGGAGCGCAGAGGGGAGAGGTGTCTGGTGGGCACGTGGACGCAGGGACTGGAGGTCAGGAGCGAGACGGGGGCTGGGGGACAGCCATCCGACCATCATCAGTGTATAGACGGCAGTCAAAGCCAAGGGCTCAGGTGGAAAATAACCTAGAAATTCCACCACAGGGGCGGGGGAGCCGTGGAATGGACGAGACACACAACAGCAAGGCAGGAAAGACACTGAAGAAAGAGATAGAAACATTTTAGAAGTTCCAGCACAGAAGCCAAGGGGAAGGGAGGGTCCATTCTGCATCTTACTTAATCTTCACTGGCTTTGGGTCCGAACAAACAAACCCCGGGAACCTCTGGCAAATTCACTTGGCCTCCCTTCTTTCCCGGAGGCCCCTGGAGTTGACCAGCTGCCATTTCTAGGGTGCTAAGGAGGGGACCTGGGGGGGGGGGGGGGGACGGCAGATGGACACAAACGGACTGAAGATCGGGTCAGCCATTCAAACGATTTCCCAAAACCTAGCGCTAACTTGTGCAGCCCACAGTCCATTTCCCATAAGCTGAAATCCCCGTTCAACTTGAGCGGAAATATAATCCATGTGTTCATGATTCATTTGCACTTTATGTAACCAAATGTTGGGCTGTCGCCGCTTGATGTCCAAGAGACCATGTGGAGACTCTTTGCAGCCAGAAGTCATGCGTTGCCAAGGGACGAGATGGGGACGGGGTTTGGCCCGCCTCGTCCGTGATCGAAGGCCACCGGCAAGGGATGAATCGGTGTGGTGCGAAGGCGGAGACATCCAATCCGCCAGCTGTGACATCGGATCCACGTTCTGTGTCCCGGCCGCAGGCGTCTGATCTAAACAAGCCACATCAACGAGCAGGCAATGGCCGGAGACAGGTCTTCCTTATATAACTATTTGGCTACTGTTGCACAGTTAGATCCTTCCCAGCTTTGACATTATAAATAAAGCTAGAACAAAAATCGTCACCCATCCAGTGTTGCCCACATCCCCTGCTTCCCTAGAGTGAGTTTCCAGAAATAGAATTACTGGGTCAAAGGGGATACACAGGTTGTTAAGTTGCGTATCAGAAGAACTACATCGGGGCGCCTGGGTGGCCTCAGTTGGTTAACTGGCCAACTCTTGATTTCAGCTCAGGTCATGATCTCATGGTTCGTGAGTTCGAGCCCCATGTCGGGCTCTGTGCTCACTGTGTGGAGCCTGCTTCAGATCCTGTCTCCCTCCTTCTGGACCTCTCCCGCTCATCCATTCTCTCTCTCTCTCTCTCTCTCAAAAATAAACAGACATTTAAAAAATTGAAAAACTACATTAAATTCCTCTTTTACCGGCAGTGAATGAACTTGTCTTTCTCACCATACCTTCCCAAGCACGGTACATAATCAATGAAATAACTCCGGGAAATACAAGGAAGCTATTAAAAGTCGCCTTTTCAAAGACCATTTTACACGGGACAGGAGCTATTAATGACAGATATAAAACTGTGTCATTGAATACCAATTGTCTACAAGTATAAACTCAATTTTATTTGAATTATGACGTGGGTGAGATGTACTCTCTACCAGTCAGAATGGCAATTTTGGAGAGAAATTAATCCTCAAATCTAAGCACGTAACCCCAAAGAAGTTTCTTCCTCATCCCCACAGAGTCTGATGTATGTCAGGCTCCTCTTCAAGGCAGCACGTAGGGCACCAGACCGTCCCTTTCCTGTGCCCCCACCATCACGACGTGTCCCCTCCAGAGCTCCATGACGGGGACGAGACAGCATGGGGGACCAGACAGGGGCCTTTCAGTGTCTCAGGTTGAAGTGATGCGTGTCATTTCTACTCGTGACTTACCGTCTACACCGCCCCCCCCCCCAACCAGGCCCAACCTCAAGGCAGCTAGAAAGAGCACATGATATTCAGTGAGCACCCAATGTCCCCGTGTCGGGTCACCAACCCCCCCTTTCTGCCCTCTTCTCCCCACAAACAAAACACGACAACTCCGTGGACGACAACCCACGGTCCCATCCAACCTCAGCGCCCGGCTCGGGAGATCAGAATCTCCGGCCGATGCGTCAGGTCGACTGCGGCTCCTCCTGGTCCAGAGGCCTATCTTTCTAGAACGAGCATCAGCAGGCTTCTCCTTACAGGGCCAGAGAGTCAGTATGTCAGGCTTGTGGGCCGAAAGGTCTCTGCTGTAGACACTCAGGCCTGTCCCACACACCCGGTACTCAGTGATGCTTCAGGGGCACAGCAATATCCAGAAAGGGTCCCTTTCAGAGCAGAGAAACCTAGGAGACCCCCAGCAATCACTGGTCCACAGAAATTCTGAAATCCTACCGGGCGGCCGCTGGGAAGCCTTCCAACCTGAGGACGGAGAATGTTCCGGGATTAGCCCTTCATTCTGCTTTGGGGAGGGCACTGCCTTATTCACTGCTCTCCAAGGACACATTCTGGAAGGTTCTTCCTCTTCCTCTGCTCCCTCGGCCTCATCCGAGGCGGGCTTTGGAAAGCACGTCCCCCACGGGGGCCGCAAAGACGCCCCAGCCTGCGCGCTGCCCGTGCACGGCGGGGGTCTCGGGGCAGCTAGAGAGTTAACGGTCTCCAAGAATCGCAGGCTTTTGTAAGGAAGGATCTTTCTTTCTGGCAGTACAACTCTGAAACTCAGTGGTAGTTTCAAGTCCAGGAACCACACCCAATGTTCTTGGTTCCCAGATCGGCCTTATTCCTTCATTCCCGGCCCCTAAGCCTCTTCCCTCCGTGCGTGCGAGAGTGGCTGCTTTAAGGCAATAGGGAGGGAAGGGGAGGGAGAGTTTCAACAGGTGTTAGAGCCTCACCCTTAATCTGAGCTCCGCCCTGGTTCCGACTGGGCACCACCCGGGGTACCGCACCCTCAGTCTGACCTTTCCCTTTGGACCCTCAAGGTCTCGCCTCATCCAGTTTCTGACTTTATGGCCGAGAGGCAGTTAGTTTTTTCCGATTTCCTTCATTCCCTCGCATTGCTGTGGGAAATTAGTCCCTTGGGGAGGCCACGTCTCCCCAGTCGCACCTTGTTAAGTGGCCAGGGACAACCGGCTGGGACTAGCGGACCCCGTCCCAACCCAACCTCCTCCCCTGAATCTGCGAGCCCATCGGGAGCCCAGGCGCCTTCCAGGTCACCGCAGGCGACCGGTCTCACCGGCATCTGACCACCGCGGGCCGGGGCCGCCGGTCCCCTCGCGCGTGGAGGGCCACGTGTCTCTGGATCTTGTTACGACAGCATCTCGGTTCCGCTACTGATGGCTTTCTTGCTTTCCTTTTTTTTTTTTTTTTTTTAATGTTTATTTATTTTTGAGACAGAGAGACAGAGGGAGTGTGAGCGGGGGAGGGGCAGAGAGAGAGGGAGACACGGAATCCGAAGCACAGAGCCCGACGCGGGCAAAGGAGGGAAAACTGCAGCCCACGCTTCTGGTCCCAGAGGACAATGGACGTGAGGGGAGACGGGCCAGGAAAGGGGGGAGGGGGCTGACAGGTTGGGCTTGAGGTGTGAGGGAAGATGAGGAAAGGAATTTTGCCCGGTTCGCGCGGGACTCCTCCCGCGTCTGGCCATCGGGAAGTCACCGTCTGCACGGCCCGGAGGGAACAGCACCAGTGTGAACGGGAGCTGCCTCCGGACTAGGGACATGGTCCTCGAGCTTAGTGGTAATGAGCTGTTTCCCATTCCCTTGTGCTACGCCACCCAGAAGTTCCAATGTCCTGGGGCGCCCGGGGGGCTCAGTCGGTCGAGCGGCCGACTTCGGCTCAGGTCACGATTCCACGGTTCATGGGTTCGAGCCCCGCGTCGGGCTCTGTGCTGATGGCTCGGAGTCTGGAGCCTGCTTTGGATTCTGTGTCTCCCTCTCTCTGCCCCTCCTCCACTCACACTCTGTCTCTCTCGCGCTCTCTCTCTCTCTTGATCTGTCTCTCAAAAATAGATAAACGTTAAAAAATATTTTTTTAATTAAAAAAAAAAGAAAGTTCCAATGTCTGGAAAAGGACAAGCAGAAGTTGGCT